AAGCAACACTCCCAGTAGTGCACCAACAGCTCAGAAGAAATGATTCCAAGCTTACCGAGTTCAAAACATTATCACTAAGACGGACACAATTTGGGGATTTAGGGACACCTTTAAGTGCTATAAGAGCATAAGGGACAAGTGGAGTTAAACCATAACATGGACAACGCACAGATTTTAGGCTATATGTCCCTTTTGGGGATTTTTGCAAAGCTGTTTTCTGCAGATTGTTGTGTACAGCGAGGTGTTTGATTTGGTCTGGCAGGGATTGTTTTGTCGGTCAACACTAGTGTGATCGTGACAACAGCCAACAGGAGTTTAAGTCAACAGGAATAAACGTGCGAAAGAACCACAGATCAGTTGCTTTTAACAACAGCCTAAATCAAAAAGCTGGTTTACATCAGCAGCTAAATGTGGATCAATCCAAAATGTATATAAGCACAGCTAAAATACAGTAAGCTTCATACATTTTTTTTTCAAATAATAATTATGGTTAAATCTAAAACCTGATACAAACTGTTCCTCTGGTGAACACATATTTCTGACAAAACTGGGTAGTCTGAGATCCCTGATCTTCATGTGCGTGATGGCCGTCTTTGTCCTGCTGTTATGTGTGTACAGTTTCCCAGAAGGCACGGATGAGGATTTACTCAAATCCTGTCATTTAGTGTGCACTGCTCTCTTTGGGAATGATGATGTATTTAGCCTGTTTTCAGGAGAGAAGCCAAACAGAGGCGTATATGTGTAGACGTGCACGCACACAAATGAAAATATCTGGATTGAAGGCACAGTTCACGGATCATCATGGATGAGGGGTACTACAAAAACAGTGAGAGACTACTGGCAGCAAGAGTAAAATGAACAAAAAAAGTAATGGGGCTGGCAAAAAGATACAGAAAGAAACAGATTGATCCAATAGAGAAATACAAAAAAGAGAGACGATAAAATGGCAGCAGCAGAAAAAGAAACAACGAGAATATGACAGGAGGACAGAAAAACAAAAACAAAAAAGGGTGATTTTCCACATCAATACAGTCTCCGATCAAACCGCTGTGTCCACTTGGGCAGCTGACAGGGGGCTGGGGAGAGGGAGGGGGGGGGTTGTTGTCAAGGCAAACAAACAAATTGGCCGTTTTTAACACATCCTGATCCCTGCGCCACTGCTGAGCATGTAGGAACAAGACGTCTCTGCCATTTTACCTGAGCACCTCAGTTGGCTGTGAAAGCTTGATGCTGACGTTTAAAGTATCCATCCTACTCTTTCTCTCCCCACTTTCTCTGCTGTCTCTCTAAATGTTGCCACGCACGAGTTGACCTCTATGTAAGCACTGCAGAAGACAGGAATGAATCATAGGGGAGCTTTATAGTGAGGCGTATATTCATCAGACTATAAGAGGTAGGCTCTCTGGGGTGACTGCTAATGCACATGACTCACAAGCGTCTGTAACAGCTGAGCATTTTTGCATTGCAAAGCACTTTCACAACACACCAACTACATTGTTTTGACCACATGCAGCGTTTTGTTAGCTAATTGGCAAGTTGTGTCAGTGAGGCCTACCTTATAATTTCAAACAAATTGGGTCATTCCCTTCCTTATGATCCCCACTTGCAAATGTGTAATTTGAGGGGGCAGCAATGATTGAAATTGTATGCAAATGTATTGACATTTCAACAATTAAACAGCAGGCCTTGATTTGTGTGGGTGTAAACTGCAGCACCGGGGGCTTTTATATGGAAGTGATTCAGGATCTAATTTTGCAACTGGGGATAAATAAAAGGTTTGTGAGTCTCACCTGTGCCCCATTGAGGCAGTGAATAAAGTCTGTTTGTGCATACTTCTGCTAAGAAACAGATTTCGAGATGCTTACTCAGTGGTTTGAGGCCAAATATCAGAGCTTGGCATAAATAAAAGGTCCATAGAAATGGGGCATAATGAGTTTTCTCTAGGAATACCTAATTTAAATCAATTTAATCATCTAACTTACAAGATGCGACAAAGGAATATGTACTTAATGAGGTCTTGTATGCAAAAATAAAAACAGGCATGGAGCCATGGTTAAATGAGTGGATTATGGCTCTGCTGGTCAAAGCCGAGAGTGGGACTTACTGACCCATTTAATGTCCACTTCCAGTGGAGCCGCATGTTGGATGTGACCCCATCCTCTGCCCCATAATCCTACAAGAGATGATCTTGCCCCGACATGAGCAACGTTATTGGACTTGACAAGAACCCAGCTGTCTGCCACACAGGGTCTAAACATCACTTTGATATGATTGCGTTCCATGACGGAGCGAATCATGTGACAGAGTTGTTTGTGCACTTTTGTGAAAAAAGGGAGTATGATTGCGGTGGACAGCGTACAAGCTTTGAAAAACGGTGTTAAATGAAAAACCTGCAGATCCTTTTGTTTTCTTTTGAAAAAAGTCAAACAATTAACACAGCTCTAGCATCTACATGAATAATTAGCCGTGCTTTGTTGTACAAACACAAATTCCTGCATGTGTTAAGCTTTCACATGTGCTTGCGATGACTTGAGCAAAATTGAAATGTTCTTTTCATTTTACTTTTCTTTTTTTAGTCTACTGCTGTTCAAAACATGTGCCTTCAACTTTTCACATTACAAAAGCATTCTGATAGCTTGTTTCAGTGCCCAGTGACGCAGGCTCTGAAACGAACATCAAGATATCACAGAGAGAGGGCATCCAGTGACAGCCAGAAAAAAAAAGTGCCATCATTTATGTGTCAACATCTGCCATGTGGGAGGACAAGTTTATTGACATCTTGATGATCATCATGGACCATTCCCCCTTGCGCTCATCGACGGAAACTCAACATACATTAGTCAGAAGCGCCGGGCAGGCTCACGTCTCATTTGTCAAGAAGAGAGAACAGAGTCCTTGTTGAGGTTAAAATAAAGATGTGTGAGTACAGAAGCTCCAAGAAGCAAATGCAGTATGTCAGTCAGTGTATGTGTCCAAACAGTAACTACAGGAAGGGAATCCATCGGGTGCTTGGGAGCTTGACTGTCTGAATAAACACACACACACACACACACACACTCAATAATGGAACGAATTACCCCTCCAGGTTAGACTTGCTCCAACTCTGCCTGTTTTTAAATCTCGTTTAAAAACCCACTTCTTTTCCCTGGCATTTACTGACCAGGTGACACTTGTGCTTTTACATTTGGGTTTTTATCTTACTAGTGTTTTGTATTGTTTTTACGTCATGTAGGAGAGTTTTTCAGTCTGTGGCTTCTGATCTGGTTTCATTGTCTCGTGTTTTACATTTGTTTCATGTCTTGTCTGTTTTTCATGTATTTATGCTATGTGTTTTATATAGTTGTTGATGTACAGCACTTTGTTCAACTCTGTTGTTTTTAAATGTGCTATAGAAATAAAATGGATTGGATTGGATTGGAATAACTAGATTTTACTCTTATTTCAGGGCGAATCCTGTTAAAGCCTCTGATTTCTCTATCGGTAATCAGTGTTCATTCAGCAAATGAATAAATCAATTGAGCATGCAGCCTGTCTGTACACTGCTTATTCCAAGAATCCATAACAGCTAAACTGAAAATAAAGGATGTTGCGGAGGCTGTAGCTTGACTGCCTTATAATCAGTTTAGCGTTTATTATATAAACACATGATGGCATGTAAAGACATGCTCCAATTTATTTTTACTAGATAGCAGAAAAGGTGATATCATGACCACTTTTACAGCAGCTGTCTGCAAGGTGCTGCTTGGAAACAGCTCATTTGAATTTGCTCTGTGTGACATTATGTTTTGGGCATGACTAAAATAAGCAAACACCTTTTGGCTGAAGCATATTCCACAATTGCTCTAAATGTGCCTGTGATATGCAAATATTTAATTAAAAAATCTGGCTACTATCTGTCTTATTGGCAGTGGAGAAACTTCAAACATGTTATTCAGAGTTGGGAAAATTTAATAAAATGTGTTTTTATCTTGTTCCCCATGATTGTTGCAGTATACCTCTCAATGCGCCCTCGGCATATTCATTTCGCTTTCCAACCTGCACTACGTTACTTGTCACAGTTAAGCCTGTCTTGGCCGGATTGATGCTGCTCCACTGGCTGAACCCTATTTAGCAGCCATAGCCCACGTCTTATCAATACAAAAGTGGACGAGCAAACACATTAATAAATATTGAGCTCTGGGATAATCTGTGGAAAAGTTGCTTGACCTCTGCGGCTCATCACTGACTGCGTTGAGCATTACGTGGACTTAGGACTCTGGGTGTAGAGGGGATTAGGATAATTACTGTTATTATATTCTCAGGGTATGGACTATCGCAGGCCTAGGCTAGCTTCCCCTCAGTTCTTGACAGCTAAATTAAAAACATACACTGCTGATGTGACCCCGGATGATTGATCCTTCTCCCTTGTGTCTACCATCTCTTTCTCTCTTAGACCGAACCTTGAATCCTCACACTCTGCCGACAGAGAGTGAAATACTTTTTTTAATGGCCGATGGAGATTTGGAGTTCAGCAGCACTTGGGGAATGATCTAACCTTGCCCCAGGCAAGACTTTGCACCTGTCCGGGCATGTATGTTTCCAGAGGTGAAAGTATATATCTCTTTCCCTGTCATACTCTCTTTAAAACACGAGATATGCTAGCAGGGGTCCCTTGAGCCTTAGCACCAGAGACTCAGGGAATGCCCGGATGGTAAACCTCCCCAAATCCCCAAGATACTGATCCCTTATGATATGGTAACTGGCTGCGAGGTGTTGTTTACCACAGAGTCTGACTCACTTCACCCCCTGAGATGCTTTCCTACACTCCAAAGCTTCCGTAACATATCTAGCACATATAAGATTCTAAATTAAAAACCAGTCAGCTGTGACACTTCATACATAGATGGAAAATACCAAAGGAATATCAAAGCGCCCTTGACAGCAACTAAAATCACGATTTCAGGGAATGCAATTTAATAATTTTGTCAGAAAAATAAATGATCGGGGGGCTAGGTTCTTACCATGTGCTGGATCAGGTGGGCCAAACTCCAGAGTGTATCTCAGGATGTAAAAATTATTCCACACATAGAGCTGGTTATCTCGCGGATTGTAATCCACAGCTGCAATGTACTGGTACTGGTTGGGAAAGTGGATATCAACGTATTCCCCACGGTTCTGTTTGGTGTTGTAAACGTAATCGATCATGCTCTTGCTGACTTCACTTTCGTTGTCTTCATAGGTGGAGCGGACCACGTACAGTACTCCACAAACCATGAAGGCATTGGAGGCTGAGCGCTTATCATAGGTCGTGTCCCAGGTAGCCTCAAATCGCAGCGTGTAGGGGTTCAACTGGCTGATTACGATCATGCCGTTGTTCTGCTCGGTGGCGTAGATCACCCACAGCCCGTTCTCATCTACGGCCAGGTCAATGTCTGTTTTGCCACCCCACTTGTAGGGCGATGTGTCGTGGTAGTTGGCATTATTGATGATCGCCTCACCACTTTTGATTCGAGTCCGCAGGTCAAACTTCACAATGTTGCGGGTACGCTCCTTGTTGAAAAACACGGCCCCATCGTAGACCACAAATCCGGTCCCATCCACCCGGTGGGGCAGCTTGTAGGTGATGGTTTGCCGGGCATTTTGGAAGTCATCAAAAGAGGAATACTCAATGAGAGTGTCTGTCCTATAAGGAGTCCAAGGCATAACGAAGATTTTGTCGCCAGCTTGCAGCGGGTCTCTGCACCAGGCGCCGGCTTGTTGCTCCGCTTCAAATAGAAAGGAAGGATCACCGACAGCTTTCAGAGTCCCAGGACAAAGAAAAACTAGTAATGGGAGAAGAGTAGAATAAAAAAAAAAACGGACACAGGTTAACATGTGAAAAATAAAAAACACACAAAAATATATGTAATATCCATATAATCTCTAATATCTTCATTTTGTTTTACAGGTTGTCCATGAAGAGTGGGGACAGACAAACATTAAAGAGTGGCCAAAACACAACTAACAGCTACAGCCAATGTTCACAAGCAGAATAAGGATTTTGGTTTTGTGCATAGAAAGAAAAAAAGGAATAGGAAAGTTATTAAGCATAATGTTTAAATATATAAAGTAGTCAGAAACAAAAAGAAGCTGGGCCTCATAGTCATTAACTGTTGGGAGTAGAACACAAATGAGGGGAAATAGAACAGAAACAAAACTTAACGAAACAATTGGTCCTGTAAACAAAAAAAATTGCAGCCAACTAAAGTCACTTGGCAACAGACGGGTTATGAGAGAGCAGGAGTCAACACAGTCTGCAAAATGTTTGTGTGTACTTAGACGTGTCTGGGTTACACCACCTATTCTACGGTATATACCCGAGTGGCTTGTCATTACGATGTGGTGCAAATGTCACAGCCATTAACATTTAAAAAACTTTCAGTAAGGGTCTCTTGAGGTGTTATGGTTGGTGCTCTGAGGCATAGGAGGCATACGAATCAACAGAGAAAAGAGCAGCAAGTGGTCAGGTGAGAATAATGGGGAGAATTGTGAAAAGAAAGGAGGGGGCCTTGAGAGAAAAGGGACAGTGGAAAGCAATAGCTTGGAAAAAAGGGCCAAGAAACACTGTAACCATGGCATGCTATGGAAAAGGGTTTGGAAGCCAGGCAATATGAGAATCTGCTGAGTAGCTTAAGCACCCAGGGAGAATGAGGAGAGAAAGCCCCTGTGGACTGCAGCCAATACAGCCCATTTACATCTTATGGCAGCTCATGTGCTGTCTTTTTTTATGGCCAATATCAGGGCTTCCATTGTTCCACTAGACTGGCCGTTAACATTACAGTGGGGGGGGGATGCTGAAGATAACGTTTGCGATGTGTTTGTAGGGGCCACCATGGGAAAATAGGTAGTTTACAACCAGATGCCACAAAACAAGGAGCTAGGGTTTGGATCGTGTCTTTTATTTACCTTTTTGCTCCACTTCTATTTTAAGCGTTGGAAGAGAGAATGAAAGGGGTGCAAGGGGAAAAAAAAAAGATTAATATGAATTAACTGTCATCGCTACGATTACACATGCAGAAACACGTTATGAGACAAAGACGGGAAGACCTATTCAGAGAAAGCAGGACAAATGTGAGAACGGTGACATACAGCCGCTTCGGTCCTGTCTTAGAAAAAGGATTAGATTAGTACAAAATGATCAATTGTCACAATAAGTTAATGGCACAGTGGTGGGTGGATTGTATCTTTCACTGCCAACTGCCTGCATTTATGTGCTGGCATAACTTTTTGACATTTACAAGTAAAACATCTTTAGATAGTTTTTTATTGGCAGGCAATTCTGTGATTCACACACAAGAATGATCTTTCTTTAGTTGTAGTTATAATGTGATGCAAACTATTTTCTTAGATTTAAAGCCAGCCTGTGAAAACTACTGTAAAATGCAAATCATTGCAGCATTTTATTGAGTTGTGACTTTGTTTTTAAACTCTGGCCTGTTTTAATCCACCCACCACCAAACACAATCAATAATGAAGAAAGAGTGTAATTTGTCTTTTTGTTTTATACTTTTTTTTTTTTTTAAATAAAGCTAACTAAAGCAGTATGATAACTTTTTTATCTCTACTGACAAACATGCCGATTTTATTACAATTACGGTGCCATTTCATCATTCAACATCTGAATAATATCTTTAAAAAGTCTTGGCCTGAAACTCTCATCGAACTTTACTTCTTTCACAATTTTGAAGCCTCAAGCGTACAAAGAAATTAACTAACTTTGGCTTTAGGCAGGAAGCAGGTAATCAGTGTAAGTCACTGGAGCAAAAATATATTATGTGCACTCACTGTCGGAGCGTGTATTACATTTCACAATACAGGACTTCACTTAATTTGTTATTTGGTGCTTTCCGATCTATGCCAGAAGTCTGCAATAAATTAGCCAACAAGTTTCAATTCATTGAAACAAGGCACCGAGAAGCATTCATCTGATGTTAATGGCTGATTATAAAACAACATATGATGATTACAAATTAGAAAATAATGCCATATGCAACAACAAGATGGAATATTTCTAGAAATCTTTTTATAACAAATTTACCAAAATGAATCAGAAAAAGTTGTTATTTTAAAGCCTAGGTCAGACTGCAAGAATGCTCAAAAGTATTGTCTTTCCAATCTGCAAAAGTTGAGTTTGCTCGCTGTTGAATTTAAAATCTGGTTGATTCGATTTCCTTACTCTAATGTTAAAATAAATGAATTATTAAAAAAAGAAAACAGGGCAATTAAGCTTAAAATGTAATAAACATACCGGTATTTCAGTTAAAAAAAAAAGAAGAAAATTGTGAACTGATTCAGGCACATTGCATTGTGCATTACATATGTAGGAATTTACATTTTCTGTCTCCACTTACATTATTATATGAATAGTCTAAAAGTATAAAACTGAAATTAAAAGGGAGATTTATGTAATGACTGAATCGGTACAGGCAGAAGCATAATGCATAACATTTCATTTAAAATGCAACTTTGTACTCATAGTGTTTTTAATCTCCCAAATACAGCGTCAGTTCTCTTGCCCTTGATCTACACTTCTATTGGTTTTTGTCTTTCTTAGATTTCAGTCTCAAGGGGCTTCACAACACAAAGGATCCGCTACAGCGAGCCTGCAAGGATCAATGTTGAAATACCTAATGTATATATTTGCAGTCAGCTTTTGTAGCTTGGGATGATGTGAGCAACCATAAACTAGCTTTCCTTTGAATGCTGAAACCCTCCAGCTTTAGATTCATATCAAAGTTTGGATCAGTTTTAATTGCTGAGTCTGACCTAGGCTTCAATGGCAGACAAAGACAGTTGAAACTAGAGAATCTGAAAGATCCGTCAATTAATTCACGCAGAAAGAAAATCAAGTCTGTTGCATCTTACTAAGAGATCAAACACAATAGGAGGTAAACAAGTTAACAACAGTTGAGTTCTCAGAAGTCACCAACGCCAAATAAAACATAGGAGGAAAGAAGAGGCCGTGTGAAGGAAACCTGGAAGGAAAAGGAAAACACGAAGACCTGATGATATTAGTAGAAACGTAAGAAATAGAAAATAGCAATCAGTGTGATCAGAAATCAGTCAGTGGATGAAGAGAATGAGTCAGGTCGCCAAGGAGGTTTCCTGCAGATTGCACAGGGGAAGGGAAGAGAGTCAGTCACTTTTAATATAGCAACATTGAAACAAACAAACATGAGACACATCCCAAACTAAACCCTAAGACCCTAAACTTTCTCCACTACATAGTACAGCATTTCAAAGGATTATCTACATCCTATAACTGTTACAAATCAAATGATATTAACTTGTAATAATCACTGTAGATAATCAAATGTTACATCTTCACTTGAACCAATGCTTTGCTGTCACCTGCCGACTCGGCGTGTTTCATTTCAATTAACGCCTTTTGCGAGCTACACTGAATTAATGAGGGAGAACATCTGAACACAAAAGCGAAGACACCTAAAGATCATGCTGCTACAGCTTAACTTCAATTTTCATAATCCTTCTAACACTGTCACATGGAGTGAGGGGTTTCCCTGCATTGCAATGTGATGAAAAAGGAAAACTTTAGCAAAGAGGACTGCGGATGCCCTCTGGCAGCAAATCTGCAGTTCTGCAAAGTGAGAATAGGGAGAGCAACTTTTTTCCAAAAAGCATTTTTCCAAAAAGCTTGCACAGAGCAGTCTTAATAAAAAATGGTCTCTGCTTTTATGTTGCCTGATTCAAGCAATTACTAAAGCCAATTCAAAGGGTGACTCAGTGCCAGGTGAAGGCGAAATGTACATCCTTGGCTGGAACATGAATATACTGTTGCTAATGAGGGCAGTCCATGACAAGAACCAAATTATGAAGCCAAGAGGATGAAACGTGGAAATGTTGTTGCAAAGGCCACTTGCGCAGAAGAGAACAATTCCAAATGTGCCTGTGTAATTATGCATAGGCTGAGACAATAGAGCAAAAATAATTAAGTAGCACATTATGTTCGGTCAGTGACAGAGACGGAAAACAGCTGTTTATCATATTGTGTTATTAAGCTGCTGGTTATATTTCATGGCACAAATAGACTTTGAGGGGCAGCGGCTACGAGTCAAAATGAGGACACTGTCCCGTCGTTGATCAGCTTAATGGGGATTTAATATGTTGTCTTGCAAAACAACTTCTAAAGTCTTGTAACCCAGCAAATCCAGGGGATCCTAAGCTCCTGAACCACTGCAATGTTTTTAATCACAAATCTAGTCATTTGGCATAGGATCTATTCTAACTGTAGGAAGGGTCTATGCTTTCCCATCTAAAGAAAGGGTTAGCTCTGGTGTAGAAAAGCTCAGTAAATCCACTAAAATGTTCCTTTCTCTGGAGTACTCTGACGCTGAAATGTATATTGATTTTATTTTGGGGGAAGAGGAGACAAAGGATTGGCCAGAGGGGAAAAAACATGACACGAACTTGTCTATGAATCACAATCTATCACAGTTTACATGAGGGCTGAGTGGGAAAGGCTGGGCTGTGTGGACTGGATCAGACTGGGAGAACACTAAGCACTTACCAGGGCAGTCGCGATAGGATACATGCTGTGTTCTTGGTCCTATTCTGGTTGGGCATGGACCTTGAGAAGCAAAAAGATGGGGCTACAGATATGCATTTTTGAAATGGCTGAGAGTGAAGTGACGACTTGTTGGGATCTTTCGTTTGATAGACATCGCCAGGACTGAGAGTCCTTGGGCAGAAGTTTATTTTTCACCACAATGCGTTGTTGTTGACTGTTTCCTTGGTGCAAGAAGGAGGTAAAAGACAATCATAACAGTGGGCGGAAAAGAGTGCACCTTGAGGCTAATCCTACTATTGAGGTTTGAGGTAACACAGCAAGACATAGGATCAATACTTCACTTAACTATGAGGTGAAGGGGAAAAAAACAAGAAGGAAAAAACCAAGCTGTTAGGTGTTTAGGGTAAAACCTACAGGATTTGTCTTTGTTCAATAAGGTGGACTCAACGACTCATTATTGCTTATTCCATTTTTAATTACAGGTCTTTAAAGCCTTGACGAGGTTAACCTTTAAGTTGTAATGGGATTCATCATTTAATGATGCTCGCTAATGCATTCGGATTCAACACTGAGGGGACGCCTTGGACAGGTATACCGCTAATTAGCAATGTAGATGAAATGTGTTGAATATAAAATATGTAATATGTAGATGAACTTTGCATTATTTAAATGTGGGCTATATTTGGGAAATGTGTTTTTAGAGTATAAACACATCTAAAGACATCGGAGTACTCAATACATTTAAATCTACAGAACAGCTGCAACATACTATCTTCAATGATCCACAATCTCATTATTTGATGTACAACTGATTAGTGATTCTGGCAATTCATCTTAATCTTTCTTATTAATCAGGTTGTAAAGGTTAAATGGGGGAATTTCCCCTCGCAGATTGCAAATGAACATGGCAGCTTAAAGGACAAAGGGGAATTTTAATTCAAAGGGCAATCTAAAGATTGTTTGGGAGCTATGAATATTTAAGCATCCAAGGAGCAGAAAGATGTTAACACTATCTCTTTAGGTGAAATATTACCTTGTTGACTTACGAGTAGAGCCATTCTGTTCTGTTACATAATGAAACATCTGTTAACATATTCCAACACCTGTTGTACGGATGTGTATTAAGCCATCAAGGTGAGCTGTTTTGCGCCTGATAGACTTCTCCGTGCGAGACTGGAGTAATGAAACATCATTGAGAGTCAGCTTGTCTTCTTCTACCCTTCCTCTTCTATTCTGCTACCTCATAACAAGATACCACGGTCGGCTGGAAACACGGTGAGCACATCAATAATAAAGGCAGTACAGAAAGAGGACCAAAGGGTTTTACAGGTCATATTTCATGAAACGTTCATGGTGTGACACAGATGGAAGAAGAGATAGAGGAAAAATGGTGCTGGAAGGTGTTAGAGCAGACTGTCTGGACAAGGCAAGAGGAAGAAATGAGACAGGATATGGTGTGATACTAATGAAAGAGAGAGGGCAAAGAAGAGGATGGGAGTGTGGGGGAAGGGAGGAGGGAGAGTTTCAATTCATGACACAAGGGTCAGACTTACTGTAGGGCACACACTCATACTGGACCTCCAGGTATTTGTAGGTCCCTGGGCAGGGGTCAGGGAAGACATCTGAACCAGTGATCACAATGCACTGTGTCCGATTGTTGCATCTGAAAAACAAAACCAAAAAACGCAAATGAGCAACATAAACACATCCCTTATTTCAAAGAAAATAAATGCGTAAATGCAGGATGAGAGAAGAGCATGTGTTCTTAACTCTTGCTCTGGCTTTCAAACAATAACATTTCCCAACAAGCAAACAATGCTGCTATTACAATGCTGTGCAGTCTGTTAGCTAAAAGGGTAACTCACTATTCACTCCGTGCCTTCTGTAAGGTCTTCTCTGCTTTGTGTGTAAGGTTAAGAGATCCCTTTTTGCGCTGTGCTAGTCCGTGTGTACCAGGGTAATTTGTCTGAATGTATATAGGCCAATGAAAAAAATCAAAAAGGCTTTGCAATATTACCTGTCAAGTCAATCACTTTTTTATTACATTTCTTGTTCAGACTTTTTCATTGAATCTTGCAATTACACACAGTTTGTGCTCCGTCTGTTCTGTAACTTCAGCCTTTAGAGTGGTGATTTACTACAAAGCAGACCTGGTGTGTGTTGTTTACACATAACCTTCTTGAAATTGAAAAACTATAAATAAAATAAGATATTGAACTAACTACAATTCATGGGGACCTTATGTGATTTTTTTATTTGACACCCCAAATGTATGTTTTACGAGGCGCATTTGAACGGGATTAACAAAGTCTGTGTTTCACTCAAATGTCCCGTCTTATTGATTTGAGCTTGCTCCTTCTCTGAATGGTTCTACATGCTGAGTGGCTAGATGAGGCTCTTGAATGTGCACCCAAAATGCCATCAAAGGTCTCATTAATGATTTCTACTGCAGCCTCCGTAATTCTCGATCCGAAAGAGCAGAAATAGCCAAAATTACAAATTAGGGCAGCTTTAAAAAAAAAAAAAATACACGTTTTAATTTAAATAATCATAACCAGCTCTCGGTTTAGCAAAATCTGTGTCATTTATGGTACTTTCTTGCCCAAAGGTTGCACCTAAGGTTTTATTAGATATCACGTTTATACATTTTATTCTTCATTTCGGCAGCCATGCGAAGCGATGTCAAAAGTTAATTTCGTAGACTGCCTTTAACATCTGGAGAGCAGACAGTCTAATTGAGCCTGTGGTGTGCTCTGAAGCCCGGGGAATTGCAGGTGACCGCCCTTTCGCTGTACTGAAATCATGATAATGACATCTATACCCCCAGCAAGCCTTCTCTGCTACAAAGGGGACTTAAAATTCTATTGGCAACGTGAGGAGCCAGATCAATAAGTCTGTTCTGCTGATTTAGCAGGGACCAGAGATAATATTTTTCTTCTCATCACGGACCAGTGCGCCCACTTCCAGCAGATCATTGGAAAATGTATTACTGGTTGCATTGTATTGTGCTTTGGGTTTTGCCTTTGTTTTGGGCCGCTGTGTGTCCAAATGTTATTAAAATAATATTAGGTAGCGGGGGGGGGGGGGGGGGGGGGACTGTCGCTTACTGTTGAGATAGCATTGAACAGGCGTATGGGGGGTGGGGGAATTGTTTAGGTCCCAGATTTAAAACCACCTCAACCACAAATTATTTAGCAAGTAAGACTAACAGCTCCTGTGTTCTAATAATAAAGAAAGAGAAAACATAACATCGCAACAACAGAATTGGAATAAGACATTATGTTTTTCTTTTGTCTTTCACACACACAGAAACAATTCATCTCCCTCTTCTTCCTATTCTATTTTCACCCAATCCTCCTGTGTGCCAATTCAAAAGATTTTTTTGCTTTTGGTAATATTATAGCCGTGTATTATATTACAGAGCCATAATGACACATATTTGTGTCTATATCTGTGTTTAGTGGGGGTCCCAAGGGGCGTTCCACTTTATTAACGACCTTCACGTGTGATAACAGATGAGAAAATCAGCATATTGTATTTGTTTTTATGGAAATGAATTACTGTTTTGGAATTAAAACATGCACCTCATGCTGGGCGCATAATATGCTGCTTGTTTTTCTAGGTAATATTTCATGACTCTGCAGCACTTTCCATATATTATATGGTCACTTTGATGGTTCTGTCCCCTTGCTCATGCATAAGCATGTCATGCAGGAGCAATATAATTTACAGTGCTTTTTCTAACAGATCCCAATGAGACCAGGAATCAACTGCCTGGTTTATATTAGGCATATGAAACAGAATGATATCAAAAATAAAATTCATGACACTAATGAGACATAAGCCTGCCATCGTTTCTCAGGCAAACGTATTAAACAACAGGATATAAGCACTAGGGAAAAAACGCTCATATATCTTTTGAAACCATGTTGACATAAGTGTTGATGGCTCTTTCTGATATATCGCCCTAATTTTACAGCTGTGGAGCAGGAGCGCCCTGATCTACGGGATTGTGTTACTCTCATTTCTTCTCATCTGTGAAACCTTGAGCATCTCCTGAGACCAATTGAAAAAGCCCTAATGACTTCTGCTATAGTCCTAGCCCTCCATTTGAGAGAGAGAGCATGTAATTGAAATTCCTCCAATAAAAAGTTCAGCATTTGGGCCTGCAAGGGCACAGGTCTCAAAGTGCACACTAATTAAATACATGTAAAATATCATATCTCTGACTATCTTTTGATAGTCTGAGGCTATATAGTAATTAATCATGTACATAATGAATATTAAGTCAAAGGAATTTTCTCCACTTCCCTCCAGAGTGAAACATTCTAGTTCTATAAATACCTTGACTGCTCAACATGATTCGACTGAAGGAAATGTGGAAATAGTCACAATATCATGTATTTTACAATCCAAGAGAAAGAATAATTAGCCAGTTGGAAAATGAGATTCATGAAAAAGTAAAGAGGCAAGTGCCCCTTAAAGGAATGACATAACCCAACTGTTTGGAAAGAAAAAATGTACGCCAATTGTATCAAGGAAATATACAGCGCCATGTTATCATTATCTTTGACAAATTGGTTTTGTGTTAAAAGCACCAGCAGCAACATTAGCTATAATCCTAAAGCTGTATTGATCAATCATAACTTTATGGTATATTTAGGTAATAAATGGACAGTAGTCAGAATCTTTAGTGACAAAAATAAGTGCAGTATGGAGCTACTTTCTGCTTTGATTGCCTCCATTTCCCTAGCAGCCTGTTAATCACACTGAAGTATTCTAAATGTAATCCCATCACATCTCTGACCTTTTGGGAGAGGCAGACATCAGTACAATTAGAGTGTCGCAGAAAATGCTGCTTGGATTTGATGCAAATCTCCTTTAAAAATGAGCACTCCCTGCTGACAGCGAGAAGGGCTCCGATAAGATGCCAACAAGGTGTAACAGAGAGCTCTCCTGAAACCATGTAGCCATATGCAATTTAACCTTTTCCACTGCCATCATAAAGCATGTCAGAGGAATAATTGGACATGAAGATAATGTGCTAAGTGAATAATTAATTGACTCGAGTATAAAAGATTCTACTAACTCTATTCCACTAACATACGTAGTTAAAGGTGTAAGCCTGCCGAAACCATAAAAGACTAATCTACATCTGGTTCTCACTAATCCAACTCGAAGTACAGATAAGTCATTTTAATCATTGCTGCTCCGTACAGTAGATCAGCTTAGCTGCAACTCTGCTTTGCTGAAATGCGACTCTAACCATATTGACATTTAAGCTTGAAGTATATTTCATTTAAGATGTATTTTTATGTATACCCTTCTTCAAATGAAATGCTACTTTATATGAAATGTACGCAAGAAGGGATGTATTCTATATCAGGGAAGCAAACACACTGACCGTAAGCTGAAAATAAAGACAAATCTTCATTTTTTTATGTAAAATGCTCAGGTCATGATTTTCCAATATAAACATGTTACCATTTCAAATATCCCTATAATATAATTAAACTATTTTTTTGTAAGCAAAAGGCTTACTTACTTAATCACACACACATATGTACTGTATGTCCGAAGGAAAAAAACCTTGAATAGTGTTGTCTTTATGCTTTTAAATGCATTGCTTTTAAATAGAACCTGTACAGACAGTCATGCAGGTTCCTCATGATGTTAAACGGCTTCTGTTGCTCATGTGACACGGCCAGTTTAGACTAAGGGCAAGAAATGTAATTGTCGTATCCTAGATAGTTTTGCACTCACTGCTCAATTTTCTATCCCTCAACACTCCATAGCTTTCAGGAAGCCTAAGCAGCCACTTGTAATTCAGAATATTAAAAAAGAATAAGCAGCGAAGACAATTGCTGTGTAACTAGAGGAGAAAAGTGACATGAGTGAAGGGAGCACATTACAGAAAAAGGCACAATCTACTTCCTGGTGCTCCCAGTTTGAATTTCAATCAAATTAGCGTCTCTTAAACTCAAAGTGACCCGTCTAGCTCCATTTCATCTGAAATGCTGATGAGGTTCATGCCACAATTATCAAGGCAGACATCTCTCTCAAGAGGCAAGCCTGTTGATAGCAGACAGGCCATTGAAACATTAAATCATTTCCAGACACAGACACAGACACACACACACACACACACACACACACACACACACACACACACACACACACACACACACACACACACACACACACACACACACACACACACACACACACACACACACACACACACACACACACACACACACACACACACAACAATCACCTCTAATATCAGTTTATTTAGACCATTTCCTATCTAACGGGGTGGCCCACTATTGTTTCAGGAAACGGGTCTTTAGAAATTATCCATTATTATCCTGCTTTTAACTTAAGGTCTGACCCAATATCCGGGTAAGACATCCCAGAATCTTGTAATTACTGTCATATGTCTGTGTTTATGCTATATTTACTGGAGCTGACAACGGGGCTCAACAGGGGGATTCAGGCCTCTTACAGACTCAGGAGGATGGCTGTCTGACTCACATCCGTCCATCTCACCTATTGATTTTCAATCCAGCAAAGGTATATTGCTATGCCACTAAAGTCAATGGAAATACTATTGTGACATTTTGCAGGTCCAAATGTGACCTTTACAAGACGCTGCTAGCA